TGGTGCTACTGACTGCCCCATGCTCCTGGAGAGGATTTTCATAAATATTCCTGCCAGAGCCCTTAGGAACTCTGAGTTCTTCAACGTTCGTCTGTTCAAAGCTCTTTATGCAATCAATGCTCCTATTACTAGATCCTTCATTGAGTTTAATAGAATTACTAATTATTTGGAAATAGATTTTTCTTGTTCAAAAGAGTGCTTTTTAAATACAATAAACCCTCTTTATAAGTGAGCCATTTATGTATACTAGTAATTTGCCTACTGTTATCACATATTTCTACTTAGCCTGTAAGATTTTCTATTCTGATTGGCTTAATAAATAAATACTAAATACTAAAGACACTCCATCACCAACTTAGTTAGCTGATTGCTGCTCTGATTCCGTTAGCTTCGCCTGAAATTAAAGTCCGCTTATCTTTTTATAGCATTTGTTTCAGCCTTGAAAATTAGCATAGGCTTTTCCATAGATTTCGTGTATATCGACCCTGGTCCAACTACACCTTTCTCGTTACGCTCTTCAGTCAATGAGCCATCAGTCTACCAGGTTATCTTAATAAGATTTGCCCTATATGTTTCGGATATAACTGCTTAATTCTTTTTATTACTAAGATCAGTTTAAACCGTTGTACAGCTGCACTGCGGATGCATGGTGTCCATCGGAATTGCATTTCAAGGCATTTTTTCGTTAAAATATCGAACTTCTTACGACTCATAAGCCCTTCTGCTCAGATGCTGGTATCAGTCATTTTTAGGAGAGCCCTCCTCTTCTCAGTCTAGACAAGACTATGAAAAGGAGTAAGATCTAGAAGAACTTCCAAGAATGTAGTGGACAAGGCGAAGGTTATGTATACCATGAATTCCATTGTTTCATGGTGAGACCCGTAAATACCTCAAGGTATGTAGTTCTATCGACTCAGATAAGCTATCATGGGTCGTACTATCGCTACGTGGATCCATCCCCGTATATATGGGGACAGCCACAACATTTTCCTAAGTAGTATGCCTAACATGATGTTACTTAATGTTTGTACCACTACTAATCTTATCATTTTTAGACCTCCGGATTTATAATTAATTGTGAATGGTACCACTGTGGCTTTTGCTGGATTTACATTCAGGTTCAATTTGGCATAGCATGTTTTGATAACATTCAGTGCTAAATAATGGTATTCTATCGTCGAATTTAAACCAGTATTCGTTAGTTCTTGAAGCAGTCCTTCGACGACTATGTTTCATTGTAGCGGAGTTACTTATACTTCACCTTATGGACAGCCCCAAACCCCCCCCCCCCCCCCCTTGTTGGTACGGCTAAAATGATATTATTCATGCAGGTTGTTTATCACCCTGCTAACCAGCGTATTGTTTATTGCAGCATGTGAGCTGTAATGAAACACGCCCTCGATGTCCAGAAAAGTGAATGTAGCTCTCTCCTAATTTTGTAAGCTATCTCGAAGTACCTACACTTGTCAGCGCGCAGGGGCCTGGAGTATATTT